TATATATTATATTATATACCATTTATGTAATATATCCATTTTACCACGAAACAATTTTTCGACAGCGAACTGCAGATTTTTGGAAATCGTAAAGAATCATCGCCGCTGAACAACGCGTTGAAAACAATTTGCCGAACGTATTATCGAACGAATTCGCATACCAGATCCCGGCAATATCTTCTCGGAGAGGTGTTATTAAATCTAGAACTTTTCATCGTCGTGAAAGATGCGGCGGGGGACGACGGGAGGGGGCGGGGGGAAGCGCGAAACTTTCATGGAAATGAGGCGAGGAACTTCGTGCTTCGAGAAGTTAACGCGGGGTGGGCGATAAATTTTTTTCGCTGATGGATTAACGGCGGTCGGCCGGCGTCGCTGGATAAAAGCTTTCCATTGGCCGATCAAAAGGAGCAACGCCTAAGCTTCCGTTTAATTGTCTCGCGATCTCTCGCTGGTTTCTCGCTGCGACGTTTCGACCGAGAACAAACAAACTCGGCTTAGGCGAACGGAGGAAAAGTGGGGGGAGGAGGAGGTAACAATTGAGAGGTAAAGTGGGATTCAATGCGCGCAGATAACGAACGAAAAAAAATATTCAAGTCGGAGAAATTGAAGGGAAGATTTACGCTGGCCGTAATAAATCGTGTTGCGAGACGGGAGAAGAGAGGCCCGCGCGCGCACGCGAAAATTCATTGCCACATTTCGCGAAACACGTCGCGCGACACGTATAAATCATGCCGAAATTATGAATATGCAATGGAGGGGGCGTCGGGACTCGATTAAATTGCACGTTTCGCTCGCGTCGACGAAGCCTTGGTGGACGCGGAAAGGCCGAGGGTGTTTCTTTTTTTCTTTCTCTTTCTTTTTTTTTACAGCAAACGCTGCTATTTTCCACCGCGACGACGGTTGGACGGCGGTTGGACTTTTCCGAAAAAGTTTGGTCACGATTCGTAGTTTCCTGCAAATTGTAACGTCGGATTGTAGAAATTATTATAAGGATATTATAATTTTAATATTTTTAAAGATATTATAAACCCACGTGAATGCAACAATAATAATAATAATAATAACTAGACCGCGGATTTTATGCATTCATGGCGAAATTGTCCTAATTTAAAACGGTATAAAAATTAAAGAAATGTAAAAATGTCAATCTATTATTGTTAATCCATTGGAGCAATCGATGCAGACAATTTTTATTTTGTGAAACTGTAGAGGTCGTGCTCGATCTCTAAAATTGTATAAACGTTGTAAAATTCCGAAAACAACATTGTACCGAAATTCCAAAATTACTAGAATTACGAAACAAAATTTTACCAAATTCTTTTTCTAGAAATTTCGAGTCCGCTCGATTTTCGAGACGTTAATACACATCTTTGACTTTATAATATTCTATCTGATGTCGAGACGAGTTCAACCAGTGACCTTAAATACGGCGACCTTAAATCTTGGAAAAGCAACGTTGAAATTTTGATCAGAAAACACGAGTTTCCGTTCCACTGTGCGTTGACACGCGAAACTTTTCGCCTCGGTATGAATAAAAAGAGAGAGAGCGAGAGAGAGAGAGAAGAGAGAAGAGAGAGAGAGAGAGAGAGAGAGAGAGAGAGAGAGCGAGAGAGAGAGAGAGGGAGGAGAGGGAGAGACCGATTGCGGAAAGGTGAAGTCCGAAACCGAAGTCCGGAAGAGAAGGGTCGCCGGAACGCGACCGTTGCAAAGACGATGCACATGCACCGGGGGTTGCAGCATAGCGGCTGCACGACGGAAAAATCGATGCATCGTCTGCGATTGTGGCCGAGCACCGCCGAAGCCGGCTCTCTAGCTGTGCCGAGCCCCAGACCTAAACCGTAGGAAGCCTCGTGCCACGGGTGTTCGACGGAATTGGTGCACCGACTGCGCGTTGCACTCGCGGTTGCACGCGGCGACTGCGCTCGCAGAAGCTCGAGCGGGCCGACGCGCCGGAAGAAGCCGAATAATTCGGCGCGATTGCATATCTTCAGAAGTGGAAAGTTCGGGATGACGAGTCCCGGTGCCCGGCTCCTCGGGATATTTCGCCGTCACCGAAACTCTCCTCTCCTCTCGCTGTATCTGTCACATACGTTACACCACTTAGCGCGCACTCCCTTCGCATAATAATTCCTCGACGGGCTCTCCTTCTACGGCGCCAGAAGAAAGTATTCGGGCGTTAGCGTCACCTGCTGTCGCTTGACGAACTGTAAATATCGGTTGAAAATGATTTTCATCGGTCTGTCCCCATTGATGGAACACCGGGTCGCTTTTAGAATATCTTCGCGTCCTGCGGCTTCATCGAAACGAAACGTCTTTTTAAAACTGTTGCCTTTTATGGGGTTGCTTCAGAAACCAATGAAAATGTAATTATCGTCTCGGATTTCGTATCAACCCTTTTAGCGACGATTAAAATCGGAAAGTATGTACGATTTTGCAATGAAAAAGAGTTTTAGAATTGTTTTTATTTAACGAATAAATTATACAATATATATATATAATTATACCAGTAAATTAAATACGATAAAACAAACACTGAATAATATAAGGAGATAATAAAATTTGAGTGAAAGTAAGTATTGATCTTTTTAATTTTAAATTAAATTCACTAGAGCACAAAAATTCAATATAAAAAAATAATAAAATCTGAGTGGAACTAAACATTAATTTTCTAAAATTTATTTGATCCAGGAAAGTTAATTAAAATTCAATTAACATTGAATGAAAAAAGTTTGAACATTATTTTCATTCGATGAATCAATTATATGCATAGCACTAGTTTATACTGGTAAAATTATTCCGACAAAACGAACACTAAATAACATAAAAACAAAAATAGTAAAATTTGAACGAAAAGAAATCTGAATAATCCTTTAGATTATACAGGGTGTCCCAGAAATGTCTCGCAATCCGGAAAAAGGAGAGGTTCCTCGGGTCATTTCAAATAACTTTCTCCTTACACAATTAGTATTATCAAACATTTTACAAACGTCGCAAATTAAAAAACGCGAGCAAACGTATCATAATAACGTAAAAACGATCGAAGAATTGCCGCACATTTTTCTGGAACTTTAGGCCGGCTGTTCTATGGGAACAGAGGCGGGCGGCGGATTTTTCATTTCCAGGAGAACTCTTTGAAAGTATGACAATTCAATTACCGGTCAGTATTGTGTTTGACGGGGTTCTCAGGGCCGCTGTTTAAATTCGTTCAAGCGAAAGAATAATACACGCGAGGCGGGCTTTCGAAGCGTGGAGGGACCGCCTCTGGCTTATTACAGGCGTCGAGCAAATCTTTTTTCTCCCGAAACGGAAACGCGAAATCATAATGCGTTTGGGATGTTCGTGGCTCGATCAGGTTCGAAACAGTGCAGAATCCCGAGCGGCGCAGGTGTCGACTCGTATAAGCCCTAATTAAAGAAAGCTATTTTTGCTTTAGGAATAGAAAAGAAACCAGGGCGACCTTTAGCCGGCGGCTGTGCAAGGGAAAGGGGTGGAAAGGGGGAGAAATATTCTCGTGGGACGCGCAAATGTCAAGTGGCCGCACTCATAATTTTTTAGCGGAGCTGCTGTCGGGGGATTCCTCAGTATTAATAACTTAATGCGATTTGCGTTTGGTTCGGGTCAAGTGGCGGGTCACGGTTTCCCATAATGTTTGCAGTGGCCGCGGAGCACCGTCGTCGCAGCGGCACGCGAGTTTTTCCATTTTAAAAAAACCCCTCCGACGATATCGCTCGCTCGGAATCCGCGCCGATTTCCCCCGTCGGCGATTACGTTTCGGGGAAATTGGAAAGTAACGTCGCGACGTCGCCGCCGATGCCCGGAATTCCGCGGAGCAATTAACGTCGCGCAAGGAAACGCTTCGCGAAATTGGCGTCGCGCATCGGGAATAACAGCGCGCCGGTTCTCCTACGAATTAACTATCCCGTAATCCGATTAGTAAACGCGAGATTACGCAGTTAAGCCCATCCTCGGGCTTGTCCCGGGCTTTTTATGTCCGGGTTACAGGATGTAGACGCAGTCCCATAACTTCACGCGGGATCGCTGCCATGTTTTCTAACGAACATGTATTGCGCCTCGTTTTTCCAGTTGCCAATTGTCGGCTATTATAAAAACGAGCCACCGATTACAAAGAAAGATCGTATCTCCTATTCCTAAATTGTTTATTTTCGTTTGCAAGCCGAAAGACAATTAGGGAGGATTTATTGTACCGGATGTCCGAAAATTATGGCACTTCTGGGAATCGAGAGGTTCCTGAGGTCATTTAGAATAACTTTTTCCTTTACAAAAATGTTCTCAGAAGCTTCATTTACGAGTTATCAACGAAGAACCGTGACCAATGAGCGGCGAGATCGGCGGCGCGAGGCGGGGCCGAGCCAACGGGCGGAACTGGGCGTCGCCCGCTCGTTGGCTGCGCCGCCGCGCGCCAGCCGAGCTCGCCTCTCATTGGTCGCTGTTTTTCGTTGATAACTCGTAAACGAAGCCTCAGAGAACATTTTCGTAAAGGAAAAAGTTGCTTCGAACGACCTCAGGAATCCCTTGTTTCCTGGAGATGCCATAATTTTGGGACATCTCTGTCCAATCGAAGAGAAACTATACTTCTCGCAGCATTCGAAACAAAATGACCGCATTTTCCTCAAATAAAATCGTTTCGTTGCATATTCTCTTGCCGATTACTTCCGTCGGCACTCTCCGAAATGAAAAAATAACGAAATCATTCGTTATTTCGGTCGTTTTACCGTCGCACAGGGGTCCGAAATAAATTATTCGAAATACTTGCAGCTCATTTTCGCGTCAAATTCAGTGAGATCCGCCTCGGTCCGAATTTTCATGAAAATTTCGCCGGCTCCGTTGGTATCGGCGGAACCTTGAGCCGAGCCTGGCCGACGGGGGAAGTCCGTGGGGAGCCTGTCGGAGTGGGGGTAGCGAGGAGCCCGGCGAGCAGCCGGGAAGGAGTACCGCGTGTCTGCCATCTCTGTCTTTGGTTCAGTTCGAGTTCGGCGCGCAGCCGGTTCGTGTCAGTGTTTCGCGCGCGCGACCTCAGCAGCCAGATCGCTCGTTTCTTCGCCGCGGTGGCTCGCGTCGGGTCGCGTCGATACGTCGCCCGTAGTCAAGTGTTTCCGCCTCGTCCGCCTGTCAGGGGAAGACGGTCACCGGGTCGAGCCGCACGTAAAGCCGTGAGTAAACGAGCAGCGAAACCGGGGAGGTACGCGGCCGAGGAAACGTCGCCGAAACGCCGGGCTTTTTCGCGGGTCCGAACGCGTTGGCGGTCTTCGGAGTTGTTTTTTCCAATGGTTCGCGGCCGTGCAAAAGGATCATCAACCGTTGCCAGTGCGTTCCTTGTACAGTGGCAAGTGGCGCAACCCCGGGCTCCCTCGAATCTGTCCCCTCGACGGTGATTCATAACCGCAACCGATCAAGGGAGGGGTTTGTTTCGCTGGCAACGTTTCCGCGCAAACGCTCCGTCGGTTTCGTCGCGTTGCGGGGGATCGCTCGCCGACATCGCGAGGGCCGCGTAGATCGCCGCGAATCGTCGATTGATCGATGCGTGTGCACCGCGCAGCCCGATCACGCGACTTCGAGAAACGTCGACGGGCATCGAGAGACGATTTTACGCGCGGCGTTTTACGTTTTTTAGCGTCAACGGCTGCCGCATTTTGCGCGTTTGACAGGTCGACACGTCATGCCCGTTTCGGAGTAATAATACATTCCGGAAATGTCTTTTTCTCGAACGTATAAACAATGCTCCGCGAGGCTATCGAAACCGACTGATATCTCGACATATGCACATGCAACGTCGCAGTATTTGCTGAATAAACCACCCGTTTTGGAGCGTTAATATATAAATAAATAGGCAGCAGTACAAAATAATAATAATAATAATAAGTAAACATGAACAACTGAATCGATTCGTTTTGTCAACGACGAACCTTTAACGGGGCGTTTGCGACGAGATAACTCGCGATCGGTCGCCGGTAGCGACGCGTCAAATTCGATTTAATGCGAGCGTAGCGTCGTTCAATCGACAGAATTGTCGCGAGCGTGAACGCGAGTGCAACGATCGCGGTGAATACACTGAATGAAATTCGGCGGATGTTTTTCGGGGCGGCTCGGTCGACTCGCGAACCTCGCTGTCGCGTGTTGTAATTCATTATTCGGGAACGATTAATCCGGCAAAGTTGGGGCGCGTTCGTGCTCGGTCACAGGCAGCCAATTAATCAGCGGCGTGCACCCGTCTCGGGGACGAGTAACCGTGGATTATTGGTGTAAAGCCCGTCGGGGCGACGGTCGCGCTTAGGCCAACGATCACCGAAGACCACACGCGCGAAGGTCCCGTCGGCGAAGGGCCCGCGCGGATCGCGATAATCGTTGTTTCCAGCGGGAAGGAAAATTGGATTTTCGCAGTGGCCCGAAGTCTCGTGCCGAGCTTGTAATTTCCCGGTTAATTAGCTTCTTCCGTTCCGGTGCGAACGTCGCGATCGTCGTCGATAAGGTCGCGAACGAGAAGCGTCGCTCGCTCCGACACCGATCTCTCGACGTTTCTACGATACTTTTTATTTCCACGTTAAATGGGCACCCGAGAAAGGGGTGCGTGACATAACTATCGACGCGTCTTTCTTTCGCCGGAGGCATTGTATAGCGTGGCGCAGGACGTTCACCCGTGCCGGCGCGCGAACACCTTATATTATTGCGTTGACGGATCGGAGCGACGATCGAGATTCTCCTCGATCGCGAAGCTCTCTTTCGCTTATCGTTATCCGCGGCGGATTAACGCCCGCCGATCGATAACGCCGCGTCGTCGGTGTCCACCTTAATCCTGGGATTCGTTCTCGAATTGCCTCGGAATCAATCGGACGAGATAAAAAACTATATCTGTTTGTGGGGACAGTATTTTCATTCACTGGTTATATATTTGTGCTCACTGATTTCAAAGGCCTTTCGATTGACCGAGCCTGCTGGAAATTGATACGATTTTAGTGGCACGGATGTGTGTCAAGAGATATAATAAATATATCATGAATATTATAAATATTATATTATAGATATATATAAATATTATATATAATAATTAATAATATTATTATTCATTATATTTATTGTATATATTTATTATATATATTATATATATGGTCATAATTAATAATTAATTATTATATATATGAATATAATATAATATTACAAATATTAAATATTATAAGTATATTCTAAATATCTATAATATATCTATCTAATATATAATATATCTAATAATATATCTAATAATATATCTAATATATAATATATCTATCTAAATAAATTAATTGCGTTATTATAATAACTAAAGATATATTAACGCCGATCTCCGACGTTCCCGAACGTTTCTCTCGCCGGTAGCGGAGCGACGATTGTATAATAAAATATAATAAAATATAACGACGACAAATATAATAAAATATAACAAAATATAATACATACCTATTTCGCATTGTTCGAGAAGCTCGGCACGTGACGACCGAAGTTAGCCGCGAAAACGGTGGCCGCGTTCGCGAACGATCGGCGCGAGAATTCTGCCGGTCCTGCGCCGGATAAGGAGGTCGCGAGTGTCGATCCATCGATCTATCGAGTGCCGGGCCCAGTGGTGGCGTAGCGAATTACTCTGGCGCCAAATAACGCGGAACAGTGGACGATCATGGTGTGACTCGTGTGACAAGTAAGGTCTTTTCGGAAAGATCGACGAGGTTGACCGGTGGTTGTTGTGTGGTGATTGGTTTTGGTGGTGGTGGTGGTTGATACGCTCCTGGGAGTCGGAAGCCCGTCGGTACCTGGGCCTCGTTTACATCGGTTTACTCATGCTGGGAGTTTTGAAGCGGCGCTGGAAGCCATCGAAAAGGTAGGCTCTCTCGTCTTTAATCGAACTTTCAATCTTTCGTGGTTATGTTTAATTTGTTGCAGCTCTTAATTTGTTTTCGACGTACTTGTTCCTTTGAATTTCTACTTGGATCTTTTTAACGATTACAACAGAGCTCGGTGTTTCTGGTTCACGCGATGTTCATTCATTCAACCTTTCGTGGTTATATTTAATTTGTTGCAGCTCTTAATTTGTTTTCGACGTACTTGTTCCTTTGAATTTCTACTTGGATCTTTTTAACGATTACAACAGAGCTCGGTGTTTCTGGTTCACGCGATGTTCATTCATTCAACCTTTCGTGGTTATATTTAATTTGTTGCAGCTCTTAATTTGTTTTCGACGTACTTGTTCCTTTGAATTTCTACTTGGCTCTTTTTAATGATTATAACAGAGCTCCGAGTTTCTGGTTCACGCGACGTTCATTCATTCAATTTTTCGTGATTATATTTAATTTGTTGCAGCTCTTAATTTGTTTTCGACGTACTTGTTCCTTTGAATTTCTATTTGGATTTTTTAACGATTACAACAGAGCTCGGAGTTTCTGGTTCACGCGATGTTCATTAGTTCGTGTATGTTAATATGTACACGCATAAGTCATGTCGACGCGGTATTATAAATGTTCGTAAACCCTCCGCGACGGCGTTACGGTCGCCGAGGGTTGTGCGAACATTGAAATATTAACCGCTTCGTTAACAGTAGATTTACGGAACCCGTCGAAATGACGGGTCAGTAATCTTTTCATTTACGAGTTATTTATGATAGAGATCATTTATGAGTTATTTGTTCAATTTATGTGTAACAATTGTTAACAAATCAGAACAGAAATGTCTTATTGTTACTTTTATAAACTAACATAAAAACAGCTGCTTTTTGTGCTCCGTAAATCTAGTGTTGAACCAGTTAGTTGTGTTCGACGAGTACATTAATGTCTCCCTAATTGACGCTCAGATTGTCCACAAAAATGGACGATTTTGGAAAAGGAGATACGTTTTTTTCGGGGCTTGTGGCTCGTTTTTTACGGTTACCGATTGTCAACAACTATAAAAACGAGTTGCAAGGCTCGAATAATCGTATCTCCTCTTCCCAAATCGTCCATTTTTGTGGACAATCTGAGCGTCAGTAAGGGAGACATTATACTATATATTTGTCACGGAGAAGTGACAGTATTTTGTGTCACGACGAGTATACTCGTCGCGCTTAAAAAGCACTGACTATTTTAATTCATCTAATTCACCGAAGGTCACAACTACACACTCTGCCGTTAAAATATGTACACGCATGAGCAACAATAGACCAAGAAATTAGGCAAAAGATATTATATAACTGTAAACACTAGACGATCTATCTATTCTTCTCGAATAATAACAGCTTCGCTGAACAGATCAGCCTTTGTTACACGCAATACAGTAATGTCTCCCCAACTGACGCTCAGATTGTGCACAAAAATGGACCATTTGGGAAGAGGAGATACCATTATTCGAGCCTAGCAACTCGTTCTTATAGTTGTTAACAATTCGTGACTATAAAAATGAAGGATCGCAAGAATCGAATAATCGTCTCTCTTCTCCCTAAATTGTCCATTTTTGTGGCCAATCTGTGCGTCAATTAGAGAGACATTACTGTACATGTGTCAAGAGTGACCCACTGTCTAGAATCCACTGGCCAGGAAAGTTTAATAAACATTTCGAACGTGAACAAATACCGAATCGCGATATTCTCGAGCTCGCGAACGAAACGTTCGAAAAAGAGTTCGCGGCGTTCCGAGCGAAAAAATATCGAAACCTATCGTTCCGCAACGGATAAAGGGCATCGAAGCATGCGTCTCCAAACAGGGTGGGGTACACCGTGGCGACGGTGGCCACGGTTTCGGTGTCTCTTCACCGGTTTCGGTCCGCATCGCTTCAGAAAAATCGTTCGATCGGAATAACGCCTCGGAACGGCGCGTCAGAAACGACGATCCGTTTACGGGGCCATCTGCGGAGAAGAGCCCGGGGACGGTGCCTCGACAAATACGAATTGAAAGGGCACAGGTGTATTTACCTTCGGAGACGGGGACCGGCAATCCCGTCGGCTAACGACGCCGCGGCGAGACGCGACGTCTCGAGCGGACACGGCCGAGAGCAGCAGCACCCTCAGAATTCCACGAACAGGATATAATCGTCGCCGATGGCAGAGGGGAAAAGAGTGCGTCGGGCGACAAATAACGTAACATTGGAACGCCTTTGATCCTCGCGCGATCTTTCGCCCCTCGATCCGCGCGCGCGCGCGCGGGCGAGCTTCTTTTTTGTAGATCTTTTCGACAACGGAAATTGCGCCGGCATGCGGGCCGCGCGCGGATAACTTTGCGCTGGAACTCGTCCTGCAACGCCGGACCTCGTTACACTCGCATTACTCTATTGTTCCATTGTTCTATTGTTCTAGTTACGGCGGAGTTGTAAATAACGCCGCAACAAATTTCTTCGTACCGCAATATTGGCTAGAATTTAGTAATCCGATGACGTCGCGCGGCCGCCCGGACGGTTTAGAGGGCCGCGTGTTGCGCCGTGCCGCCGGTTTATTCGAGTTCGTTTCGTGTGGGACGATGTCATTAGCGCTGACTTACCGCTCGCTCGCCGTTGCGTTCGGACGGTTCTCAAAACGGCGCAACTTTTTCGAATCAACTTTTCAATCGATTCGACAGCGGATATGCGATGTAAAAATTGTCTAGGACGATAGCGAGAGAAATAGAAGCTGAACAAGAGTTGTTCAGCGTTGTTTAATCGTTTTTATTAGATCGGAGATAATGCGGTGACGGTATATTGAATTCTTTTATTAGGTTGGCCAGCGAGTTATTGCGTTTTTCTGTGTTGCAATCTATGGGGGAAACGCGATGGCTTGTTGGTCGATCTAAGAATTTCTCTGAGTCTGCGACGACGAGTATATTCGTCGAGCAGAGAGGAAGTGTCGCTGTTAAAATGTTAGATCAAAGAGGCGGTTTTATTTGGTGAAATTAACGATTTTGTTACTAATATTTAGTTGATCAATTGACGTTAACGTATACTTCTCCGTGACGAGTATACTCGTCAAGTATAGAATCGTCGTTAAAATATCGGAACAAAAAGACGGCTTTATTTTATGAAGTTAACAATTTTATTACTAATTATTTACTCGTCTACTTGACATTATCATATACATCTCCATGACGAGTATACTCGTCGTGACAGAAAATACTGCCACTTCTCCGTGACGAGTACACTCGGCACGACAAAATACTGTCATTTTTCCATGACGAGTATACTCGTCACGACACAAAATGCTGCCACTTCTTCGTGACAAGTGTACTCCATTTTTCCACGACGAGTATACTCGTCAGACGCAGCTAACTGATTAAATTGAAACTACTACTTGAAACTTTTTGGCCGTAAATGCTTAATATCCGCGGTCCAGTAATCATTTCTTCGAAGAAAAAAAAGATAATTCCGCGAAGAAATTCCGTTCGGTCTCGTTCCGTCCTCGGACTGCGAGACGTTAATAAAACTTTTAATAAGATTTTTAATAAAATTGTTAATATAAAATTTTTATGGAATAAAAGTTTTAATAAAACTGATCCGCCGATACGCGCGGATAGCGTCGACGACGACGACGATGTTCCGTAACATCGAGCCGGTCGCCTCTAATCCGCGGCAAATAATCGAACATAAATTAGAATAACTCGTCGCAAATTAGAATAGGGACGACCGTACGGACGCGGCCGCGTGTCCGTGTAACGTAATTGCATCCCCGTAAATAATGCTTCAGGGTGCGCGCGCGCGGCGTAGGTGATCACGTTTAGCCGCCCGTTGCATAACTTTGCATGCTAATGTTTACCTGGGCCAATTCAAACGAATTATCATAACACCTGCTGCGCATCCCGTGGCCCAATTAATTTTCATTAGATCGCGGGGCCCGGCCGTTTTGACCGCTCGTCGCGGAAACGGGCCGAATCGACGGTCTCCCAACGCGCCGTGAGATCGCGCCGCTTCTTTTTTCTTCCCACGACAAATTAGATCCCTTTAAACGAGAGGATTATATACAGGGTGGCCAATTTCTCGTGGAACAGCGAGATCCGGGTTTATGGAACTCTTTTTTTTTACAAAGGTTTCGACCTTTGTGCAATTTTTAGAGCTTCGGTTCTCTTTCGAAAGGAACAGTCGATGGAATTAAATGGATTCTGTTCGGTAACCCGGGTCGAAACTGACCCGAGGCTCCGCGTCGAGCAGACGGAGGGCAGAATATTTCCTGGGGATGTTCCCGGAAGTTTGTTGTGTCGCGAGAAACCCGATCGCGCAGGGTTGAGGAAGTTCGAATTTCCTGCGGACGAGTGGGTGCTCTGCGGCGTTTGGGGTCTGTTCTTCGATAGAGGTGCTGTCTTAGGGCGCCCCGATAGCCATTTCATGGGATAACAGACATCCGCCTTATCTCAATAACCCTTGGTTCGCGACGCGTTATTTTTTGGATCGGATTACAACCTCTTCTTTTTGAAACTGAAGTCTCCTTTTTGATAGGAGCCTATTAGGAGCCTGTTAGGAGCCTATTAGGTTCAATAGCCTAGGTTCGATAACTATAACAATTGAATTTATGAACATTGCAATCAACCGCGCCAGAGACAGCATTGTGATACAATCTTAATAACGTTTGCAAAATGGTTTATTTAAAAATCGATGAACATGAAATTTGCCACTAAATTAACGAAGCGACCCTTCCAACAATCGAGTCAATTGACAACTAATAAATATAGTGAAATTCTCCCAAATTTTCCTTAATAATTGTCGACAATCGGCAACGATAAAAATGAGCCACGAGGCTCGAATAATCGTATCTTCTCTTTCCAAATCATCCATTTTTGTTTACAAGCTGAAGGAAAATTGGGAAAACTTTACCGAGAACGTTCTTCCTTTTTTAAACAATTCTAACAGACTAACAATAATTCATCGACATTAACTCTTTCGCTACTTTCGCTATTT